GCTGGCTGACGATGATTTTTTGATGTCCGCTTAGCATTGGCGCTTGCTGACTGTATCTCTGAGGATGGAACTATTCCTTGAATAATGAGGGTGCTAAAACGCACTGGCTCGCAACAGGGACGCATGGAGACTTTGCTGGGACGACGGCGACCGAGGTGACACAGGAGAAGTCCTTTTGGCACTGTCGTGATTTTCGACAGTGACTGACTTCTGTTCAGAAGAAGGCCCGGAGTGCTGCGAATGCAGTCCTTTTCTTTTCCCATGATTCTTGCTGACCTTTGTTTTTATCCCTCACGTTCTATCTATTTACGAAGTTGGTCAATACCTTCTGTCTTTTAGACCTTCTTTGATGACCTCTCCACATGCTCAAGCTATTGCTGTTCAATTTGACCTGGGCAGCTTCCATTTCCTTCCTGTCTATCCAAACGATTCCCGAGGTAACATCGAATCCCACATCAGGCAACGACACACACAAACACCGGAGACCGTTGAGAACGTTCCAAAAAAGTTTGTGGCGTTCTTTGTGGGCCACTTTCTATAATAGCAATACCTGGAGTTGCTTTTTTTTCAAACATCCGGGCCAATTTCTACAAAAATGAAGGAAAACAAGAACGTGTGAAGGGAGATATGGGACGGCGAGAAATTTGGATTTCCAATTAGGCACCCAGCAATGGCATCCAGGTTCTTGAAAGAGAACTTGATGAAATGGCGAGGACCAAAACTCCAGTTTCTCAACCGAGACTGTCTTATGACGAGTTTTTTCTTTGGTAGAAAGGACCAGAGTTGGGCAGCGATGTACTTTGAATGAACAAAAATTTTTGGAGCATTGGTTCGCATACTGATATCCTGAGCCGCTTCCTTCGCCCCATCATGGTTCCTTGTCTCTTTCACTTCCTTCAATTCCTAACCATACTGATGCGTAAGATAGTTCGACTCCAGTGGGTTTTCTATTAGCGTCCGAGGCGATGATCCTCATCCCACGACGCTCTCGAATTTTGATGTTGGGAACGCTCATAGGTGATACGAAAGCCAAGGGCGAATAATGGCCAGGGAATGCCCGTTAATCATATTAATACTTTCCCTATTGTCCGCTTTCCGGTCTGAGATGGTCTTGAAACCCTTCGATCTCAGAAAAGTTCACAATTCAAGAAGAATACCCCATTTGTAATAGTGTGGACCCACTTTTCCCATACGAGGTTGCGACGGTTTCAACCTCGGTGGCATGGGCGTGCGCGTACAACTTCAAATAGCGAAAGTTGTAGGGTAGCGTACGTGATTGAAACTAAGCGTTATGTTTGACGCCTATAATTCAGATAATTCGCTGTTTTCCTTCGCTTCTGCGCATTGAAGCCTACTGGACTGCTGCTTTTTTGCCTTAAGTCTTTGACCCATAAAAAGAACAACTTTTCTGCATGATCTAGCCGCCGTAGCATGTCCAACGGATCACAGCTCCAGTTGGTTACGCATTGCGACACTGGATCTGTTTTGGTAAGCTTGTTCAATTCTCGTGTTGAATTACGACTTCAAGTTATTTTGATGACTTGCATGCTGTTTTTTTCTTATTTAGTCTGAGGAAGCGAACCATCTTGGGTCTCTAGCGTTGAGTCGAGGACGTCTACTCGCATTGTAATTCACGCAATGTTTGTTTTTCAAATTTATCTTTATGAATTCATACTCGCACTTTGCCGTTGGTCATTTGGTAGAATTCTTGTCTGGAATGATCAAGTTTGTACTGGTTACTCTACTCTCGGGTTTGTTCAAATGGGCTTCATGGAAAATAACAACTTTTAGACTGACTATTTTCATTCATTTATGCACCTATGCACATAATCAGATACTCCAGTAGGAGAAAGAAATAACATTCTTACCCTGGGGCGACAATATTTGGTAGAAGTTTTATGCTCATTGCTTTAATATGTTTAACATGCATTGAGCGATCGTCGTGGAGATCTCGTGAATGAGTGAGAGGTTACTTTCAATCCTCACAAGATGAAAATTAGTGATTCGATTGAAGAAGTTCGGAGCAGTTCTACGAGAAAGCTGATAGTGCTTGTAATTGTATTTCTTTATGACAGTAATCCTTGGCCGTCTTCTTATTTCCTGGGTGAATTATCACATTTTCCGGTTTTTCATGCGTTTCTCTCGACCTTTATGGTGTGGTGCTTATTTTCTTTTCTTTTCCATCAATTCTAATCCATGATAAGTTATTTCATATAATAAATAAATAAATAAATAAATATATATATATATATATATATATATATATATATATACAGCACATACGTGACAAGTCTAGTTGTGAACCATCATAACCACCCCAGAGCCTATTACCTATGTCAGAACACTGGTACCCTATATGGCCATGCATGGGCTCAGTTGCGCAGTTCACTAAGTTTGCAATTCCTAAAAGAAGGGATTCACCACAAGACTTTGCATATCAATAAAGTTTCGCTAAGAGGTCGATAATGTGCCTTCAATTACTTTACCTTTAGGTATCAGGAAGGCAGTTCCGCAATCCCTGGCGTACCAGTTGACGCACCATTGACAGTGAAACAACATTTTCAACAACAGCGTAAACAACAGGTATGTCTGGTTGGTTCTACCTTTATTGAGCAGTGAATTCCTTTTGGATCACATTTTCATTTTTTACTAATCACGGGTTCTAGTGGTTCATTCACCGATGAGCCTCTACTTCCGATTCGTTTGTCTGCGATTAATCCTTTCACGTCACTGCGCTCATAGATAGCATTAGCTTCTCTTCGTATCGTGGCAGTTGACTCAAATGTTCTTTTGACTAGCGACCCTCTTCTACCTTAATATTTAATTGGTATGCATTCAAACCTGTCTACCTTCATACTTCTGTTGGAATTGAAAACCAGAACTGATTCATAATCCTGTTCTTGTTTTATATCCCTTGATTACAAATTGTCCCACTCGAAATTGTTGTATGATTCGAGAGGTTGCTTTTTTATTTGTGTGCTTGACAGAAAAACGTTTTCCTCTATCACGAAAATTGCTGTTTTGTGGTAAATTTAGACGTTTTTTAGAGAAATCGTGCACGTAGAGAAGCAAGAAAACAAGCAAGTGGAAGTGTATCCGCGCCCCAAGCATGGTATGTTTTTTTTTCAGAATATTTTGAGCAAGAAACTCGAAATAAAAACTTTCTTTCGTGTATTTTTGAATTGTTCTCACTCAAATCATCTCAATATACTCTCATCATCAGACCCCTATAAAATCACAAATATAGTACCATTCCCCATCTATCCTTTGAACATTTCTAAGCTTTTATACGGAGGTCAGCAGGCTGGATTAAAAAAAAATAACTCTCTTCTTTCCAATGATGTTTAAGTGGTGAAACTAAGGGTATATGAAGTGCAGGATGCGGGCTGTAGGCTGCTTGAATAGAGAATAGAGGAATCCAACAAGGCTCTCTCATTTTTCGATCGGTCTTCATGAATTCGATGTGCGCTATACGCAAGTTTGCTGTGGTTTTGGATGTATTTCACTAAATATATTGAGCAAATGACCGTGACCGGTCGGACCAGGTGGGAGATGATGTTTTGAAATACAAATGCTAGTATCTTTTGCCACGAAGGGAATTACTAAGTGTGCCAATGGTAAAACCTGAAGTCGCTCTTTTCCATAGCACCACTCGTAGAAAATATACGAATCTAATCATTATTGATAGAAAAAAAACGGAATCTAGCGAAGAACCCTTGAATACTCATGTATTAGTTGCTCAAAGAACAACGGCGAAGGTTAACATTCTTGCCATAGAATCACCTTGCTCAGAGGGAATTTTTCACTTCTAAAATTTTTGGTTTATAGCTTTTGTTACCAAGCTGTTGTCATTCATTTGGCTATATTCGTAGAAATGTTTTGAACGTTGTAATTTTTGTAGCGTCTTCTCCAAAAAGGAATCTACTTCCAAAATCAACAGTCTGAATGAACAACAAGATCCCCATCCCACGAGAGCTCTCTCCGAACCAGCTTTCTCCCATCAACTTCAACCACAGCAAGTATGAATTTTTTATTTCTTTATTAGAGGTTGCATTCCGAATGATAAGATCATTATTTGTACATATAACATGAGCATTGTTTTCTAACAATGAATATTATTCATATATTACTGGGGCGGAGGTGGTCAAGTGGCAAGTGGCGCAGTTAACGCAGGCATGGTCACTGGTTCGAATCCCTGATCGATATCGGCCCAAACCATCCAAACCTTCTATTACTCTGGGGTCAGTTTATTGGTACAAGCCAGTCTGGGAGGATAAAAGCACTGACTTGTACATGGGACGGTCACCGCAATTCGTTGTATAGGCCACATACACATTCAATACGCCACTACGATTTTGAATGGAAGTCAAATTCGAGGGCGCATCTCTCATACGGGATTGATCAACGCCCAAGACTTCATTCTTTTGTCTTTAAATATTACTAGGTGCGTTATTTTGGGTTGGCTCGAATGCTGCAGTTATGTGATGGCATTTTGCGCTATTGACAATGGAAGGCTGACTAGGAATTCTATTTTTTCGCGAACGATTCGCAGCGAATATCGGCAAGTAGACAACCTTCACAGTTACGGCGTGCAAGTTGTATCTGCGTCATGCCTCGAACAACAAAGCTATGTGTCGCACAAGCAGCGACCAAAAAAGTCGCTGACAGTGATTGCAATTTGGGCATGCGAATTAAGAACGCTTTCTATTCAGAGGTTGCTATGAGATGTACAAGTGTTTGTGAGCGAAGTGCCTTCCCTAAAAGCCGCTCGATACTATTGCACCTCTTCTGTCTAGATCTTGTGGTCGAAATTAAGTAGAAGTTGAGAGATATGGAACCAAAAAACCTCGCTGAATAGTCGACTGCTCATAGACTTGATTCTTTATTTCTAGATGCGCCCTTCTACCTCGAGAAGTGCAGATCAGGAACTTTTACGAAACACAAATATGAAAGTCGATCCGAGGCTGCTCGGGTCGTTTGATTCAGAGGATTATGGTATAATGCGTGGAGGAGCGACAACGATCACGGAAACCTCTTCGGATAACAAGTTTGCTTTACGACAACCGAGCATTGATCGCTATGTCACCTCTTCGCTGTTTTTAAGAAACTCGCGGATGGACTCAGTGGACTCTTACGAATCACTCTTTCAAATTCCTGATGCAGGACAGATGGGACAGAACAACTATGATGTTCCACGAAGTGATGCAATGCGCTCATACTGTTCACCTTATCAGGTTCGTTGTCCCTTTTCAGCAGACTCTCAATAAAATCACTCAAATTAGCGGCTGTCTTTTTTCAGGCAAATCGATGTGATATGGAAGATCAAACATCAAGTATGCATGACCTTGGGGAAGGCACTAAACTGGAATATTCCATACCTGGAGCCATGTCAAATGTAGGTTTTTACGTTGGTGGCGTACTATCACTTCAATACTATTGTTACGCTTATGTGCGCTCGCCTTTTGTTCAGCGTTTCTTGAATGAGTTTGTCCGTATTTTTGGAATATTCGACGTGGCCACTTTTTCGCTTATGCCCATGTCTTTCATTTTCATAGTGTCTAGTAAATGATATCGTTCCAATGTAGATTCTTAGCTATTCTTACTGTAGATGTACTCATCCATGGACGGAGTCGAGAGAAACTACGGTATTTGTGATGCTGGTATGTCTGCCGCAAATGGAGCATCAGAACAGAGTCATACTGATGCTGATCCCACAACATTCGACCAAGGCGTTGAGAAGCTTGATACTGAGACTGATGAGAGATTCTTAAGCTGGCTCTATGTGAGTTTTTTTTTTTTTTTTTTGCCAAGAACGTTTTGTAGAGGATGTAATACTTTTCACACTGTTCTTTAGAAGGGCAGTTTTTAATTTGCCATTTTTTCATAAAATGAGAGCAAGCGAAATTTTGGAATTTTCGGATACGGAAGTATGCAGCATTTGCTTAAAACGTTATAAAAAAGGGGTGGAGATGTAAAAATAAGGGACAACGTCTATTCTGTTTTGATCGGCCGTTTACGTATCTTTTTTTTTTTAATTTTAGAAGCAAGTGCGTTATTTTGCGCGGCATCGTATGTGAAATAAAGAGCTAACACACATGTGCGCCGCGCTCACCACAGCAATGCGTCTTTTTGAGGCGTTCCACTTTCAAAAGTAAAAATAAGTAAGTTGACCGAGTAAGTTGGAAAAAATGGGAAAGACGATTGGCTTGGGTGAAGCAGTAGAAGAGAACTTCTCGTCCAATTCCTCACTGACTGCGTATCTGGCTACCACATAATATCGCGCTTTTTGTGGGCCACGTCCCTATTATGTAATGCTGGCACAATATCTAGTCATCAAATGAAGTCTATGAATTTTCAATAAAAGTCATTTTGGCATATGCACTAAAGCTGGCAGAGATCACAGGCAACGGTCTACAAATAGGTAATATACTGCGTTAAATATGTGTTTCTCGTAAAAACTTTTTCGTTCAAAAGCATGCATTAATCTGTTTTCCATTACAGGGCCTGACCCTTTTTTTCTCAAGTTAGTTTCAATTTTCTTGTTTCAGTGTGAGAATGAGCATGCAGAAGATGATGACGCTGAGTACACTCGAGTTCTCGAAGAGATTGAAAAGGATGAATGCTTTCCACATAAAATGGAAGGCGAAACTCAGATGATGGATTTCGGTGTCCCAACGTGCTTACCTTCCACAACTCAAGCAGAAGTTGGAACTAAAGTGGAGCTTGATCCATCCCATCCGCTGGCGTCCGATTGCGTAGTGGGTGAATATGCATCTCTCCCGCCATCCATGCCACCTCGTAATCCCGTTCCTGAGGTGAATATTTTTCATTTCTGCTTTTCTTCAATTCTATTCTCCTGTTAAAGAAACTTTACCAAATTCACTTTCTACATGCTTCGACCGATAAACAATCAAGTATTAAATTCAATTTCAGCCTCTTGAGAACGGAATAAGATTTCAAACAACTGGAGTCGCCGAAGCGTTCGGGTGAAGGGAGGGAGGAGGGTATACCATCATATGACGGCTCAAGCATTTACTCATTATACAAAAGCTATACTCTCCTACACAAGAGTATTCCCCTTTCAGTCGCTGACTCCGCTGCGTTAACTTGGCCCTGGTCAGCAGACTCCTCCACTGTTGGAATGCTGGAGTTGGGTTACCGTATGCGATCTCAGTTAATGACTTCACTGCCCATCAGCTTCGACGTTTTGCGTTGTTTTTCTCTACTTTTTTTAACAATTGGTCGCTTTTTAAATCATCATGTAGAGTTTGGGAACAGTATGAAAAGCAAAACGTGAGGAGTGACAGAAGTTGCATTTGTCTGATTCCGACTACTGCTAAAGTAATCGTGTTGGGTTTACTTGATGTCGCCACACGCAATCAGCTGCTTTGCAAGGGATACCATAATAGCACCATTTGGTGGATAGAGCCATCTGACCTTTGTGCGCGAAACTACATGGGTTATTACTCTTGATAGCGCCCGCTCATCCGTACTTGGTGAGGAACGATGGGAATATTTCCGTTGAAGGAAGGATCGTGGAAGAAGTTTCAGTCGTTTTTTAGATTATTCTTGGGTCCTTTTCATAGATTTCAACACCTAAGATAGGCCTGTGTACCTCCACTTCTTTAATATGTTCGAAGAGCCTCCATGTCTAGATAGTAGAAGCAGGAAAACCGCAATATTTTTTAAAGAATTTACTCAATCTAGACATTTCCTTCCGAAATTGATACTTTGTACGTTTAGGGCTACTCCGTTACTGATTTCGACTCCGATCTCGACCTTGAAATGATGCCAACTGGAGAAGATGAGGAAACACTGTATGGACGACTCTTGGATGTTTTAGTGCGCGATATAAAATTGCTGACATATGTAAGTTTTNTTTTAGAAAGTCACTAAAAACAGCGCAGGATTCACAGCAAACATTTCAGAACAATGCAGCGCTTGTTGATGAAGTTTCTCGTCTAAATTATGCTATACTCGTCGCATCTGAAGAACGAAAGTGAGTTTTGTTCATAATTACCAGTCTTCTTTCCTGAGTAATGTGCACTGTGCTGTTCTGAGTGGAATTTCATTTGTGCACGTTCAATGCCCCTGTTTTAGAGTGTTGGCTCGCAGATCTTGCCACCATGACCGAAACCGCATCCGTCGACTACAGACAGCCAACAAACGGAAATCGGATGCCCAGCGACGGCAACAGGAACAATTAACAATTGCAGAAACGCAAGAGAATATTGCTCAAATTAAAGCTAAAATGGCTAAATCAATCGTCAGCCCACAGAGGGTGAACATTTTGTTTTGTAATTTACTTTCACATAGTTCTAAAGACGTTTCCCACTCCTGTAGCTTGAAGTCTAAGAATATCGAGTTAGCAAACCTAAGAAACGGTCCTCTACAGGCAAGGTCGTCTGCGTCAAGCGCAGCCACACGTCCTGCTTTAGACGTGGCGGCGATCAAGCGCAGTGTCGAGGCGGAGCAACGCGCACTGGAGGAAAAGATGCCATCGAAGAAACCGAAACGGAGAGTGAGTCCCAAATTTTCGTTATGGCCATATTTCTCCTTACGGTAGCACTGCTTCACTATCATATGCATGTATAAGGAATGAGAGCAGATCCTTGGAAGCTAGTAGTTCCAACACAAGGGATGTTTTCCATTTACCCTTCGGCGGCATCGCCTTATGTGGACTGTTTCTAAACTTTCGGACATATTAAGTCATTGTTTATGCTGAGTGTAGTAGTTGTTTTTTGAATGATGGACATTGAAAAACGTTGTAAAAGATATGAAGGAGTGACTGTTTTGTTTAAGGCTGGAAGCTCGAGGATACCGCGCAAGCGACCAGAGCCTATACGCTCAGAGAAAGATTCGTTAAGTACTCAGTATGTTCAACTAGCAACTTGCCCTGTCGTCTATATCTGCTTNATCGCATGGCGGGAAGTAACTAGGATGTTTTAGGAACTCCAATGTGGCTAAGCGAGGAAGACTTGAAGCAGATGAAGTGCGTATCCCACAGGAATTTGTGGCTCCAGTTGAAAACGCTTCTTCGACGCCATTATTTGAGTCTGCCTCTTCAGTTCGTAAATGTTCACGGGGTTATGTAAGTGGTGCGGAAGGCGTGGATGAACAGAACCGACGACGGCGCAGTAGCAGGCAGTTGATTCATGGAGCTGATGGCGAAGATAATGACGAAAGTACAGCTTTAATGACTAGCAGTGTTGCCGGGCGCGATGATGTGACAGCAGAAGACCCTTCTGGTGCGCTTTTGTCTCTGCTTCTTTTTTTCTTTATTAACGAAGACAATCAACTAGAAGAAACAATTTAGGTGAAACGCGCAACGTCCCAGCGACAGGCGATGAAATTGAGCAGTCATTGGAAGAAAGGGACGACGAGTCACAATCATGGCGTCGCCGATCTGGTCGACCTCCCGCTCGAGCGGCTAGTGCAGCTGCACAAACCTTATTAGCCGCAGAACTTGCAACCACTGAAGAAGTCCCGACGTGTTCTCCTAAAAGAGGGATTAGATCGCGTTCAAACACAAGCGATACCTCTTCATCTCGTCCAGTAAAGCGACGTGGTGCAGTTCAGTCTGATTCTGCAGAGCGACTTCAATCAGAGGGGCCATCTCCCATGAGTGAACTTACAGTAGAGATCATGGACGATTCTTTAGCGTTGCATGACTCGCCACTGGAAGGAGATCTTGAGTTGGAGCCTCGGGATGAAACAGCTGATGACGACGTGTTGCCAATCGGTGAACTCACGGATTCTGAAAGTAATCCTTCGAAAATACCTCAGCGTTTACGCCCTGGCAGACGATCCGCTAGAAGTGTGAGTGAAAAGTGTATATGTAGCCTATTGGAAACTTTTTTTGTTAGTCTCCTAGCATTAGNTGAAGTGGAAAACGTAAAAGTGATGCCAGTGAAAATGTTTCGCTGATCAGTAGGAGTGCGCTATGCTGCTCTTACCTCGAGAGTCGAAAAAAACGGACCAGTGGTTCGACCGTTCCTCAGGTTGATAGATTTTTAGAGATTTCTCCTTTTATAGTCCAGCCGTCAGAGTGGTGGTGACGCAGTAGACGGTCCCGATACTGTTTGTCAGACATCCGCCTCACCGTCCCATCAAGAGACTGAAGAGAAATCAGAGGAGCCGATAGCGCGAACCACGAGGTGCCACATTCTTTCTGCGTTACCTAGTTTGGTTCTTTCATTCACGTTTGTGCGAGTGGTTCAGCTAAGTTTTTATTTTATAGGTCACACGGTCGTGTAGGTGTTTCGTCCACGCCTCAAACAGAACGGCAAATGCGAGAGCGTAAGCAGCCGTCTATGTACTCTCCAGTTGCAAGAAGCACTTCTATGGTGCAGCCCCGTACCGTCAGGAGGAAGTCTTGAAGATTTGACGTCGTCATTTCTCATCTGGGTATGAATCGTTTGGCCTTAGGAAGGTAAATTCCTGAGTGAGTCTGACCACTTAAAATAAGCAGAAATAGCTGCGTTGAAGGGTAGGATTTACCCATTTCTCCGGCTGGGACCTCTCATATGTTTTTGTAGAAACATTCAGCTTCATATGCAGTAGCGCTCAAAAGTCTTCGACCAAATTCTTCTTTAATCGTTCTTTTTAGTCGTAAATCTTTTTCTACTGGATCTAGTCATGCGAAATTTCGATATGTATAGCATGGGAGTATTGTGACTATTTACCACTATTAATCTGCAATCTGATCATGTTCCACGTATCCCAAAGGGTTGAACAAACACTCAACCCCAAAGGGTTGAACAAACACTCAACTGGGAAAAGGGCATTGGTCCTTTTAGGACTCCTTTCCTTTTTGTCATGTCTTAAGTGTACGATCGCTAGTGCCGAACACAGTAGAGAAGAAAAATGCACGTAAGGTGCGATTAACTGCCGATGTCATTAACTTTGCTTTTAACGAAGTGTGCTACCACAACAAGCACTTTGCTCTTAGTAATATAGATATTGCTGCTTTGCAGTGCAGTTAAATAGTGTTGTATAGTGTGAAATATGCTGTAGTTGAACATATCCAAATTTCGCGCGATTTGCTCCACTAAAAAAGTTACGCACGAAAAAGCGTGAAAGTGTTCGGCCGAAGACCTCTGAGCGCTACTGTATGAACGAATTGTTGTTCAAAGTTACTCGTGAGCTCCATTGAAGATTTTTATTACTTCTTAGATGATGTTATTGGTAACATCATTGTTAACCTGACTTTCTTCGTGTTCCATGTACAGGTATTTAAAAGAGGTTACGGCAGGACACAAAGGCGTCATACGGCCGATCTCGTGAAGCTGATATAGCTTTGTTCATTAACCTATATCTCTTTGGTGAAAGTTTTTTGATAGCAGTTCCACACTTACCACTTTTCATATTCAGCTGATATGTATAGGTTTCTTGTTTCCAGTTCGTGAAGCGATTGTTCTTCGATTACTAGTTTGTGCGAATGGCTATGGACTGCCTAATGGCAGCCTTAAGAAATGGGATAGTTTGGGTAAACGTAACAGTGCCTCACCACATTTTCGTTACTGCAGCTCACCGCTTACTTTTAAATTTGTTGATGTTATCTGTTTTTTTTTTCGAGAGTTTGCGATGATTCTGCTGTAAGCTTCCTAAGTACTCGAGATTGGTAATCGCATTTCATGTATAGGAATGAGAACTAAAATTTCATTAAAGAGTGTTTTGAATTAGATGCAGCAAGAGGCACACAGGCATGTTAGCGTTAAATGAGAAATACGATTTATCTCTGCGCTCTTATTGTTGGTCACTACGATGCGAATGCCTTCCTACCGCAGACAATACATAAGATCTCATAAAAGGTAAAGTTTATTTCTCACAAATCTGAAACAATAATAGCAACGATACATACATATATGCATGAAGGATAAAGTCTTGGGGCGTCGATTATTTACAAATCTTGTTAGGTAATCACTTGGATCACAAGGGTACGCCTCACATTCGACTTCCATTCAGAATCGTAATGGTGGATTGAATACGTAAGTGTTTTAGGCTCCGACGAAGGTGGTTTCACCGAAACGTAAGCCATTAAGGTATTGTAAACCTCGTGTGGAGTTATACAAATAACGTTTTTCGAAAATATGCCGAGGTTCATCGAGAGCCGCACGTGGAGATTGATCCGCAATGTGCCAACTCAACACCAACGGCTCGTCATGGATGTGTTATCGCTAAGGCAGAAGATTGTCTTAGCTCGACAATCTACTCACTTCCTCAAGCGCTGTCTGGAGCACCGTCTGATCCCGAATTTTATCGCAAAAAAAACGACTTCGGGACTTA